GGTGGTGCTAGCTGCGCGCATGCTCGTCGCGCCGTCGAGTCCCGGAGGGGCCACGGGGAGGGCAGTGGGGGTCACGGTGGAGGTTCGGTGTTCCTTCTTTGAATCGGGGCTCCTCGGCCAATCAGAGGCGAGCACTCGGGTGTGACGCACACTCACGGCATTTTATTTTGAAGGATTGGGTGGCCGGGTGGCTGCAGGGTGAACCCCTCTTGTCTGTAATACTATTATAAATATTATATAAAACACAATTTGTACCCTTATTATTATTATTTTAAGAACCCATTATTGAGTGTCTTTTTTCTATTAGATAGATAGAAGATAGGGAAAGATAAGAAAGATAGAAAGATAGAAAGATAGATAGAAGATAAGTAATGTTACTGTTTTATATTGTTTTTCTGATTGATGTTCTTGTATGTACAGTGTCTTTGAGTGATTTAGAAAAGCGCTATGTATTATTATTATTATAGATAGATAGATAGAAATACTTTATCGACGAATGAGTCTGTTTCTGAAGCTGTAGATATAGAAGCTATATTATAATTTAATATTTGTACACACTCTTACTTATATTTATCAATCTTCTACATATATAATAAATATAATAAAGTATATCTTCTTCATATATTGTAATTTAATGCACACATTTTTTCTATTATTATTATTCTGTTTCCTCTAATGTCTCCCTTAGCAACAGAAACCGTGTATGTTGCCAGTTAAATTGTAGCTGGAGGCTACGAATTTTAAATCTAGCTAATCTATATTATAAAATAAGTTTGTTACGCTCTGACACAGGTGTGAAAGTTTAAATATTACTACTATATTATATTACATTATCACATCACCTATTTATTCATCACAACTCCACTGTAACTATAATGTACTATGGTATGTCATATATGTTGAATTGCAGGAAAGAGAACAGTGTATAAGCTTAAGTATAATGACAATAACACTGAATTGAATAAAACACCACAACATGCACACTGGTAGCATTGACATACATGTTTATTCCGATGCATTGTCTTGGATTCAAGTCTTCAACATGCACTTTGGTGTGTTTACATGATATAATATTGTTCTTGACAAACATTGTGGAGATAAAATACAGTATATAAGAGCAAAGTCTGTCGGTGTGGAGTCAGTACCGTCTCCCAGGTAGTACGAGATCAAATAAAACTATCCACTGGACTATTTTTAGTCAGTCCCGTGGATAGTTTTACTTTGACGTGACATTTGATAAATGTTGTGGCAAAGGCAGTGAAATTTATACCAGTAACATAAGTTTTGTATTTCCATAAAACAGCGGAATGTGTTTTTTCTAAACTACTATGTAAAAGATAAGCGATCTACGTCAAAATACAGAGCGGAAATTATTCTTTCCCATTCACAACAGTTGGCTTTCTTTCCTAAGAGGGTCTGAGCCCCCGAGGAAGTCGGTACACCTCTCTAAGAGGATCACTTTCTCTGGATTACAAACAGCAGAGACATGTTCTCTAACATCTAACTTTACTCCCCACATCCGGTCTCTGCACATGCCACCAGCCATCATGTAGTAATGCACACAGAGTTACCAGCTGCTACGCAATAAATCCTGTTACTGTGAAGCTTATTATGTTCAGTATTTGTTGACAGCGTGACAGAGGTGTTGCTTCACGCCCCGTCAGTTTTGAGATGTAGTTGTGATGTTGAACTGGACTACTTTGAAAGCTGAAACTAATAGATTAGAAAACACAAATTGAACGTTATAAATGTGGGATTTACTGTGAACCTAATAAGCTGGTAACTTAGTGTAAACACCGGTTTATATAGAGGCTGTTTCACACATACAATTCATACCATATAACAAGGCAATCCAACATAATGCAGGTGATGGTTGAGTCCATCACTGTAACACTGACGAGGCTACAGTATGATGTCGATAAACGGTAGAAATTCAAATACTATAAAGCTAAACACAAACTTACATTGCATAATATTAAAGGAAATACACATCAATAATACACAGACATGTTGGTGAAAAGAGATATTATATACACATACTTTGGCTTTACTCCATTATTATATATTAAGAGTATCAGTAACATGAGTTCTTTTTTTAATAATTCTCTTAAAGCTTGTGTCATCATCTGTGTTAATACAGGTTTAATATATATAGTGAGCTAAGGCAAGCATGTGAGAAATATACAGTGCAGTATTTGAGCCAAAAGGCACTGAACAGGTTAATGTTAACCCCGCTGACTGACCAACAATCGGTCTCAGGCTCTATGAAATGATCCTCTGCAACTGAAATCCTAAATTTAAACATACCAGTTATATAAAAACACACTATTGCTATCTTAAACGATTGTCAATTCTGGAAATGTGACTTGCACGGCCACCGCGGGGCCTCGTCTGTTTCCCCCCTCCAGCTGTTAACTGTGTGTTTACTTCCGGGCCACAGTTTCAGACAGCTTCTTCAGCCTCTTCTTCAGCTCCAGAGGGAATTTCTCGTAGCACTTCTTGCACACCGGCTTCATGTCAAACTCCACGAACTTGTTCCTGTGGAAGATAGAGTTACAGGTTGGAGGTTTAGATGTCATCACTCCCAGTATGTACGTTTCTACGTGTCAATGCTACGTCTACTAGCACGTCTACTTTATAATCTTACATATCTTTACAAACTACAAACAGCACATGAACTGAAATGCTGATATGAAAGTGTTATGAAAATAATCAAAGGTGAATATTGTGGATGAGTATTTTCAATTATTTATTATTTTGATCAGCAGCTGAATGGAATTGTATTTTTGTTGTTACATTTTGTCCTTCGTTCTTCTTTATACACAGTGTCTGTATAAAAAAATCATTCTAAATATAATTTATTATTTTATAGTTTATGAGAAATGAAATCCTTTTTTTAGATTACTTATCGATCTCTTAGTTTTTTTGTAAACTACCGCTCTTGTCTGAATGAAAGCTGTCAATTCCTGATGTAGAACCACATGCAGATTAACATTTTCTTAACTTTTCTGATTTAAATAACATATTTTGAGAACTATGAAGCCTTTGCAGAGGTAAAATGTTCTTCATGAGTGGTTGTTTTCTGTATTAAATGCCTTTGATTCCACTAACACTGACAAGCTCCCTAAACCTTTCCCCCCTGCCTGCTGCCCTGGACGACATTTCCTCCCAAAGCAGATAATCACTGGCAGGACCGGAGCACGTGTCAAACCCGGTGGGACCTCAGCACTTCCGCTGCTGTAGCCAGAAAGCCGCCGGAAGTGATTAAGGCTTTACCCTTTATACCCAGACGGGCCGGGAGACCCAGGAAACAACGCATTCCCTTCACCATGTGACTGATCTGATTTTGTGTTTGGATAGCAGGGGTTACCAGAGTACCGGCATTAATCCTGGGTAGAGTTTCGGGCTGGGAAGTGGCCATGAACTGAAAGCAGTGTTAAGTCACCCGTATGTTCAGTCTGTGCTTGACAGGCAGATGGACTGAGAATAACAGTGATATGAGGAATAAAAGTGGCCATGGAGCATGTTTGAAATATGGTGACGATGAAACAGTAAATGAATAGAAACAGAAAAGGAAAGAAGATGGAAACTGACCAAAGGAAGAACAGTGGAAGTGAGGAGAAAGGAGAAAGAGGATCACAGACACATGGGTATCAATTTCTTCTTCTTCTCTTTACAGTCGCGTTCACGCTTGGCCAGCCGGCGTTTCATGTCGTCCGGCAGGCGTTCGTAGCAGTGCTTACACACCGGCTTTAGATCCACCTCCACAAACTTATCCCTGATAGAGCAGGGAGGAGGGAGAGATGGCGAGGGGTGTGACAGAAGGGGGGAGAGAGGACGAAGGGCAATTGGAGAGAAGACATTGAGGAGACAAAAATAGAAGAAATGGAGCAATGGAAAGGATGAAAGAAAAGGTAGAGAAGAAAGTTGGGGAGAGGACAGGGGAGGGAAAAGTGGAGCAAGAGAAACGTAGGACAAAGAAGAGGGATGATTGAAAAGAGAAGAAACAAGCCCACGAAGACACAGGATGAAAGAGGAAAGTAAAAAAAAAATAAAAAATCAGGAATGAACAGGAAGAAAAGACAGACAGTTAACAGCAGCAAAAAGTCCCAGACACACGGTAGTTGTGAAAGAGAAAAATAACATGCAAAGAGAGAGAGCTTACCCAATTCACACGTGAATTTCTGAATATAATTGATACCCAATAAGTACGTAATCGAGGTTAAAATGCGTGGATTGAGTCTCTCAGACTCTTGGATTACTTACTTGAGGGTGAGCTTAGTGTTGCAGGTGGAGCAGGCGAAACAGTTGACACACCAAGCCTTGTTGAGGGCAGACACCACTGACAATAAACAGAAGAAACACTGTCAGATGATCGTCATGTGACTACAGTTTAAAATCTAATTTTTAAAGGAGACTGTGCAAAGATATCCACATACAATGTATAGATTGAAAGTGCTTTAATGCGATCAGGGCTGCACAATCTCTAAAACCAAAGAGATGTGTATTGACTTTCGTCGCAATCCTCCCACCACTGCTTCAACTTTGATTAACGGCACAG